ATAAAAATGAACGGAAAATCTCAGCATGGCTCAAATACTTGACATGCTTAGGAAAGAAGAGAACAAATAAGTAAGTAATTGGAAGAGGTCATCGGGTTATAAATAATGTGGTCGGTAGCTGTTTGCGGCCATTATAATGTTGACTCGGGCTCGAGCGCTAATGCGTGCGCAAACATTGCGCTCCAAGCTGCGCCCGCGCACGTCGCGCGACAAACTTAGAGGGTCCTAGAAAAACTTTTACACTAAATACTTATTAACGTTACTGTTAAGATTTAGGGGACTTATTCATAATTTGGTTTTTATAATTTGCTGTAGATATTATTAGATCGGTTTTGTGGCTTTGTGCTTTAAGTTCCATAATTTAATAAAATACGTGACAAATAATGCGGTGTGGCCAGTGTTTGTCGATAAATTCGGTTTCGGTAGCGTTTGCCATGCTCTTTGGAAAAACAAACGGACGTCTCGGCGCGTCGTCAACGGCGCTTAAAAAAACAAAAAGTACTTATCTGTTTAAAGGTCTTTTGCGTTAAGTTTTAACTAGTCAACGGTTAATTTCATTTCTCACAGTTTTTTCCTCGCCGAGTAAAATTCTGATCGGCTGCGTTTTACGAACATCTTAGACTTTGTTGTTGACCTATTAAATATAGGCAAGCTTTTTAATAACGTAGGGACCATAGTACCGTGTAGGGAGAAGTTAGAAATTATGGATAATTTAATTAGTATCCCAAAACATTTGTATACAAATAAAACGGCAAGGAATTTAAGGAGCCAGACGATAATAAAAACAAATGGAACCTACATAAAGCGAATCGCAAACATGGAAATATTGAAATCGGCGACAGTAATATGTAACAAAATACTGCCTCTTATTGTTCCAAGCGATTTTCGTCTTTAGTGTATGTTAACAGAGGCTATATTTAGTCTTGTAATATAATTTAGGAATAAAAATCAAACTTAACAGCGTCCCTCAAACATTGGCTCTTTAAATACAGCTAATTGACAGGAAATTGTAACATTATTCTTTGTTTAACTTTGTATTTAGTTCTGGCGACTAGGGATTTTGTGATTACAAATGACTTGCCTACTCATGCAGAGGAAATATTATGTCTTAATGCAATAATAATCATTAAATGAATGAATAAATCGTACATTAAGGTCACAAGGCTCATAAGTGATATATACTTGGTACTTTGGAAATTCTAATCTTTTAAAAATGCTTTCAACACGGCAGCACAATGACAGAATTAGGCCAAGTAACAAAGAATCTCACGTTTAAATATTTTATTCTTATAAAACAGTAATTACTAAGTTAAAGAGACGCAGTTATAAGATAACCAAGGCTCGATGAAGGCACTATTTGCTAAGCGACCGCCAGCTCCTGTAAGCACTCCGCAAACAAACGCGACACAAACACACTGTTTGTGCTTTCTTATTCATAACTCGACTCCTGCTGGCATTTCAATGCATTTACTGACAAATATTTTAAATATAATGAGGATGTATTTTCTAAATCAGAATCCGCAACGGAAAACAACAAAGTTTATGATATGCGTGATGTGAGTCTGCTATGTCTATGTTGTTCGATCAAATCGTCTAATTATATTGATTACGGAAATTATCTAAGTCAATCAAACTCGAGGCAAATGCACTTATGGATCTTTAGATAGATTCTCGTACTGTGAAGTGTGTCAGCAGAAGGCTGATGACCTAATTGCCAATAAATATCTAATAATAATCAAGGAAACAGCTGAAACCGAAATCTGTAATGCCATTTCTTATTTATTATGAAATGGATTGTATACTACCAACTGAAGCATTTAATTCTTTTTCAATCTTTAAAAAACATAGGGCCGTGAAAATTAATATTAATTAATAAGTGCCGGGGTGAGTAAGAAACAAAAGGTTAGTTAAAATCGGGAATCAAATGCTATTTGGTGGAAAATACATATAGATCAGAGATTACCCGAAATAGTTATTTAAGTACTGAATTGTACCAATATTAAATTAACACATTCGTACATAATATGAATTTTAGCATTAGGTATAATGGAGCTAATTAAGCGTATGGCTCGTGCGCTGACGTTGCCGCGGATAACCTCAGATAACTTCGATATTACGTTCATAACATTATAATTCAGCTTATATATTAATAATAAAAATCATGCTTAATGATTAGCTTCATTTTGGCTTCATCTCGAAACTCAGTACAAAGGATATCGTGTTTATTGTAAAACTCCGGGAAGCAATAGAAACAAAAGGTTAAAAATCTTGCGTGTGACAATTTGGTAGTGATAATGTTAGAGGATATTACTATTTAATTAAAATTCCTTTAGGATTTTCTTATTTTATTAAAATCTCATTTTCTACGAGCGTCAAAGGACCATGACGTTAATACCTATCGATAAAAAGGCCAAGATGCGATAACTCTGCGTCGCGGGTCATAGGAGTGATGTTCATTCATACATGGAGATCTCGACCGTTAAATTTTACTGATATTCCTTATTTATATCTATTAATATACATAATTTGTACTTTCAACAAACATAGGGTTTTTCCACAGGACCACGCATTATTTTGTTTTATAGAACATAGTATAGTCCATATTTGCGCAATATTTGGCCATTACTGCCTCCGCCGTCCTGGTGTCTTAACTACTAAACGCTTCGTTCATCATTGCGGTTTTTGTTTTGAAAGACTATCATCTGCTACAACTCGTTATAAATTTAAATACCTCATCGCATTTGTTTCAAAACTACGTGATTGGATGTTCCTACTCACGATACTTGCGTGACGAGAGCTTGTAAAAGTAATGAACTTGGGCGTTATAATATTTCCTGTGTTCATGCAAGAGGCACTGTCGCTAAATCAAATTATAGAAATAGAGAATTATAATTATTTAACCGCCGACCGACACAATTTGTAATCAATTTTGCCAATGTTTAACTGGCAATTTAAAATAATTTATCACGTAACGTAAACAATCAATTAACTATGTATGTTGATTTATCGGTACATTTATTACCTGTTTTAGTTAAAATTGTAATTCAGACGAAACGCAGTGCTGCATTATCGCGGGTCAGCGGGCGGGTTATCGAGGCGATAACTTGCGCGTCACCACCACCACCACGCTAATCACTTGGAAATTTAGCCTTTTTAAAGTTATATTTTAGTAATATTACCGATAGCCGTCTCTATGTCTATAGAGAAGCCATGGAAATGTGGGGTAGGGACGTAAGAAGCAGTAGAAAGACCAAAAGGATAGTGTACTGTTGATTAAATACAGGAGGCAGGCAATAAGTTATAGTAGTATACGGGATTAAATGGATGGAATGGATTTCTTATTTATTATAATCTATAATATGGCTATATATAATATTACCTAAAACCTACCTAAGTTTTGACGTGGCCATACCAAGCCTTTTTAGCTAGCTAGGTGTGGTCAGAAGGGTATATCAGTTAACACGCGCTTTGGAGTATTCTCTGATAGATGAGAGACTTAGTCCACAATTGATCTTATTTCGGATGTAAATTGTATGTGCGAACACTATTAATGCATTAAGGATGATATTTCGATAAAGGAAACTTTATTTTTACCACCATTTTGTTCCAAGCAAGCTCTTATTTTGCTGCTATCTCATGTTTCACCTATTGGACAGATTTTGCGTGATGGGAGAATGCGTAGTTGGCGCAGGAAATAATCTAAAGTCGACTCTGCGCATCTTTTATCTTATCTGGCCAACTAATTGGCCTTATCTGGCCAACTAATTGTCCTTATCTTCGAAATCTTCAAAATAATTACAATTGTTAAAATATTTTTTTTAACAATTTAAAAAAAAAAATCAGTAACATAGTAACAGTATAATTAGGTTATGGACACAAAGACGTAGACGTAGGTTTAATCAGGTTAAAACAGACCTCCCGAAAGGTTACTAACCCGTCAGATTTATAAATAAAATAAATACATAAAAATAACTAAATATTGTTATAGATTTATAACAACGAAACATATCCGATAAGATAGCTCTATATTTCGTAGAAAACCAAAATTGCTCTGTAAAATCTTACCGCGGAGTTGAACTATTTAAGGAAACCTAATCTTATAACTATAAGTCTATGTATGATGCGTAAACAAATACAACTTTTATGTGTAATTTAATTAATAATACGAAGGTTTGAGAGCAAATGCTGTTATAATTGTTACTGCAGGCTGTGTTACTGAATATTTTCCTATTCCCGATGCAATGTTGCTTCTTTAGACCAGTTGTAGGCACCAGCTTCTCACAATATCTCTTGTCTCATTACATACATTGTATCTCATTATTAACGGATATATTTAGTACGAGGTAGTATTACGTAAACTTGTGAAGAAGTCGAACGAATTAAAAAATATTAGTAATGTAATCAAAATACTTAAATTAAATATTTTATGCACATTTAGCACATTAAACTAGACGTTGAAATGTGCCCAGCCTATTGCAGCTTCACAATTTCTTACTCCATCGGCTTAAGGAAGTGCCTCAAATAAGATGAAATACCGTAGATAGATAGTTCCCTACGCCGCGCCGAGTAAGAAAAACTAGGGGACATGCCTACTTAAATTAGTATACGTAGGAAACATTGCGAGAACATAATATCTATCAGAACCGTCAATTGGTAATAAAATATAATAGATTCTTAAAGAAATGTAACCGAACAAAAAATTTAAATATATTTAAAAAATAATGGAAAATTGGAAAAAGGACCAAAGTTTTTGAATTTGTTTTAGTTTTCTATTTATCCGTTTTTAAATATATTTATTTTTATAACGTAGGTTAAGAAAATACTCTATATTTGTGAGTTATGAATTAAATAATTTTTATTCTTTAATAAATTAGTATAATTTTAATTTGAGAGTTCTTATTATCTCTAATTTGCCGATTCTCCTTTGAGAAATTTCGTCTCAGCCCTGATTTTCTCGAAGATCTGGATATAATAAGGTAAACTACTACTATTTGTCTCACCGGCATCCATAGCATATCCTGCAGCGGCGGCTGCTGCATGCAGGGCGCCGTATTCTTTACTGTCCATGCCGCCCAGCATCATGTCACCACACACACACTCACGATCCACCACCATGCGTCCAACACCCGCGGTGCGTGCCTTGCGACTGAGTCCACGTCGCGCTCGCCTGCGCACGCGCACCCAACACGCCCACACACCCATTGGATATCAACCGCCAATCGCACCGCTCCATTTCGAACGCATAGGAATATCACCTTCTATATGAAGCGGAATCCATTCCTGAAACTCGTGCGCGGACTTTAAACTTTAGAAAAAGAGAATAAGGTTTCAATTTGGTTGCTTATCATCTCGGATACCGTGACTGTTTGTTTCTTTTGGTTGGCTGCGACTGAGCGGAGGGGCATGTAGGTGTGCATAGTGTTATGTACGGTGTAAGTGAATTGTAATTGATATTTTATGTTACTTAATAATTATGTTAACACTTTATGGCTTTGATAAGGGAGTGGATAAAATAAATTAAATGTTTATTTTTTTTTTTTCGTTTTAATCGAGGTTTGTTTATCCTCATGACGCTTTGATTTTGATGTAAACGATGAACAAAAATGAGAAGAGATTCATGTTTATATTGAATACGAAATATTAATAAAAACAATTCAGAAGTTCGGTCGGCGCGCGTTTGTGTCTGCGCCGCGATTTGCATGATTTAATAAAGAGTAATTTGTACGGTGTGCGCGGCAAACTCAAACAGAACTTTTTGTAAACATATTTGTGGTAATTAACAGAGGTTTTTACAAGTTGACACGTATCGCAAGTATTTGTCGTAATTAAAAGAAAAGGCTCACTTTTTGCTACTGCTTTATTGGTTCCGTCGGGCTTAGGTAGGTACCTACAGGGTTCCGCAAGTCGCAATTAAGGCTCAGTGTTTTTTTTGCTGGGCGATGAAATTGGGACATATACAATTCACGTAATGAAGAAAAATAGACATGCAATAAAAATAAAAATGATACTGTCCCGAATCCCGATAATAATCATATCATGTTCATTATTAATTATTTATTCAGTTTAGGGCTTGAAACTGGTTTCAATTACTTCAACACATATTATTTGCAGCCGTTATTACTAGTTGAATAACTTTATTTATTTTCAGCCCATAAATATACACAATATTCTTAACCCACATAAATAGAAAATTAAAACAAATTGAAAAAATCTGGTCCTTGTGGACCCCTGCACAATTGTAATAAACTTAATGCTGGCTGCATTTCTTCGCTGAACGAATAAATATCGCGATACAATACGGTTGTCTCTTGAAAAACAAGTAATTTCCTATAGCTACTATTTCTGATTGCTAAATTTATGCTTAATTCATGCGCTCACAGGTTTCAGCATAGCCCAAAGCAACACAAATAGAAAACAGGTTTTGTAGCAGGACAAAGTGGTAGGTATTAAAGCTATGAGAGAAAGAGAGAGGCCAAAATACTTATAGGTATATGCCTTTGAGATAGCTTTAGAATATTGCGCTATTTGCTACAACCTCAAATCTTAAATTTAGAATTAGAATTAGGTCAACTCAGTATAAGGTTTATTTTATTCCGCTAAACAATTTTTGCCTTGAATTTTTTTTGTACAAAAACACATCAAACTTCATTAAAATCCTCTCGTTTTATGAGTACCCACGTGAATTATTGTACAGTAGCCAGTGCCCATCGTAGGAATCTTGCAATGATCTGGTCAGATTGATGAGTAGGTAGCGTTTTCCGGCATTAACAATAAATGTATTATTAGGTGGGTACATTAGGGATCCAAACTTAAAATATATCTGGCTCTGAAAATGATGATAAATGGCTTAAAGGGATAAGGAAGTAAGTTGTCATGATGACAATTTACATCATACCGAATTTTAGATTATCTATTACGCTAAATGTTGATGAAATATCGTTAAATTCGTGACGATCGAGTGATATTCCAATTCCTTTGAAAGATACATGTGGAGCCCTATATTATACAGTTAGTTAACAATACCTAGATAGAATTAGTTGGCTAATAATTAAAATAGGTACTCTCTGAAAAAAAAACGTAACAAAATTATCAATAATGTGGTCGTTTGTAAATATTTAGTGTAAATAAAATGCAGATTTTTGTTTAAGGTTTCAGGGATGTCACAACGAGAGAGCCGTTTCAAAATTATAATGAAATCATTAACAGAACATGTGTTTACCAACAGCTACTTGTTCTAGAGCACAGGTGTTTCTTTTGTTTTAGATTGTTCAGTTAAGAAAAATAAAAACAGCTACATACTCTTACTCGTATATATAGACGAACGCGAAGATTTCCCAGATGACTGCCGTCACGCAAGCGATTTTGTCAGTAGCGGCGCGGGGCTTATGAAAGACAATAATGCCCAGTAGGCAAACCCTTCGCAGGCATTCTTTTTACCTATTGACCAGAGGTAGCATCGGTATTTGGTGATAGGTAACCCTGAATGGAGTTGTCGAGTACGTGAGCGTGGGCAGTGGTAAGGGCAGCGCAATAAACCTGTGCATTGTGGTCAGGCTCCGTGGAAAACGTCGCATTGTGCGCGGCCATTGTTCTGTTATCTCACATTTATTGCCCAACATTAATACACGTACGAATTCGATAGTTGCCTACAATGCAGAGTTTTTAATTTTGATAAGAAACTAAATTAATTTTACTCTACTAGCGGATTTTTTATGCGATAATATAATAACTAGAGAATTAAAATTGTAATAATAATTAATTAATTTGTTTGAAACTATGTTATAATGATTATATCGATCTAAATAAGTGTACATACTTCAACAAATAGTAGAATATTCATCATAATTATTTTGCCTATTTTATTAACAATTAAAACAATTAAATTCACTCTTTACTTTACTCTTCTTTCGCTCGGGACATAATTGAAGAACCTACGTTTATTTAGCCCGCAATGGTCATCTTAGGGTAGGTTGTCTCACTAACAAAGAAAGCATTTCTGCGCCATCAGCAGTGACTTCATATTAACTAGGACTGGTCATAATATAGAATGCAAGGTTCCAAATAAGCTACCTACTCATCTATTCAAATAACTCTGCGCCAGTCTTCATACGTAGCTCATACCTAACTCAATCTGTTCGATATTCTTCGTAGATACAAGGATGTAGCGAACTTACAGCAAGCAATCGCCTCTATATAATTAGCCAACTTATTCGTTCCCTCGTCCGCCCTATAAATACAGCTGAGACGTCCTGCCTCTGATCTCTGCGGCGGGCGTCACGCTCCACCGCCAGCCCTACTGTTCCCCTTTCCCCTCTTACACTACAATCAAACATCAACTTTATATACATGAAAATACACACTAGAGTTCAATAAACTTGTTTTGAAAAATGTTTAACTCTACCAAAGACACAAGGCAATTTAGACTTTAAACAGTTGAGTCAATGAAGCAGATTGCGTGCTCTTCATATGCTGATTTCAAAATATTCTAATTAGAGAATCGATATGCTATTTTGTACCTTATAACGTTTGAAAGAAACTGAATTTGTCATGCAGTTGCCGAAAAGGGTAGAAGACAACGGAAGTTGATCGTATCTTTAATTAGCTTCTGTAATTAAGTTAAATTTTTGCCATAATTAGATAAATAATGCGCAGAACTGTTTATTAAATAAGTTACATTGAAGGAACGTGTTTTATTTCGTTTGGCTAATTGGTGTAATATAAGGTATTTTTTTAGCAAATTGAGTGTAAGTACGCTTGGCGCGTTCTATTTTACTTTTGAACGAAGCGGTAAATAGTAAAATTATGTTTTTTAAATATTTGTCTTGAATCCCCTAAAACTATGTTTAGTTCAAGTGAGTGATACAATTAAATGAAGTGTTTGTACTACCTAATAAGTATAATGTAAGCTCCACTAGCTCGGCGTCGTCCCTGTCAAAGTGACAGCGGCTGGTGTCGATATCAAAAGACGCCGCTTCCCACTGATAGTGTCGTGTTCATGATATTAATATCGACTATTTCTATTTATACAATAAGTATTATATATTTATAAATACAAAGGATTAAAGATAATTAAAACATAACAATCAAATACACAGTATTTACAATTTTCGCAACCTACATTAAAATAAATAAAAAATACTGTATATTACTTTGTTGTTTAATATAATTATATTTTAATTGACTTTCTATTTACTATTTTATTGTTATTTGTACCTCTATTAATCTCAACTGACTCTTAGTCTGAGGATAGAAGTTAGAACCAAATTCCACGAAGTGAATTAATATCGACATCGGCAGTTCCCCTTTCTATTGGGTCATGTCGCGTATCGCACGATATTACACAAATAAATGGTGTATGTCACATATGCTCCTGATTAGCTCACGGCGCCGTCTCATTGTATGTCTGTCTGTCACGAAACACGATCTGTATATGTAACCTATTAAAATACTCAGTCGTTTAAAAATGTGAGCCGGAATTTTGCTATAGTATCTTCCACCCGTTACAAAAGGCACAAAAAATAAAGCTTTTAAAAATAATCCAAATTCTTAGCAACGTCAGTGCAGCTTTCAATGAGAACTGGAAGTTTTTGATCGCAGCAAAAACCCTCTAACACCTATCATCACTATATTGTTAGATGAAAAAAAATGTTAATAAATAGATATTTATGCAACGTCACGTCTGCCTGTAAGGTGGAAGCGAACTGTAATCCATATGGCGTCAAGTCTTTTATTATTATTTTTTATTATATGCATCGTGCTCGTGAACGGGTGATTATTGTGGTGACTAGTCAGATTTGGATGAATGTATATCCAAGTCTAGTGTTTACCCTTATTAACCTTGATACTACGGGTTTGCGTGTGGTTCCCAGAGTAGGAGTGCACGCTCCAAACTGCGAAACTATTGTTTTTCGTATTATTTTTTAACGTGCAATATAAATATTTAGAAAAATAAATTTTTGGAAAAAACATGTCTTAAAATAGAAATTAATGCCTTGTGGTGTTTTTTAGATATTATTGAAGACGCAATGTACGTTTGGAACTCTTCAAATGCGATTTGTAGAGTTCCCGTCGGGTACCTAATACCTATACACAATCCAAACAAGTAGGTACCTACC